CAGCAATCCCGCTAATAAATTTAATTTAACGGAAAGTTTGTTTGTTTGGTTGAACGCGCTAGTCTCAGAAACTAACTACTAATAGGAGTGGAGCGTCAATGAAAAATGTTGCGTAAACGGCATTAATTATTCTTTTTAAGAGCTTCCTTTACGTGACCTGCGTAATCAGTTAAAGTTATACAAAATCATATATGATGGAATATTTTCCATTTAAAAAGTTATAAAGAAAACGACACAAAATCTTGTATGATGGAAAAGCTCCCCTTAAAAAGTTCTAAAGAAAGTCCGCGTCATCATACCTCTATACTCTTCTCCTCAAATTAATGCGGGTGAAACGTGATCACAGGGTACATCAAATATTTTATAAACCATTAGGTTTCTCCATTTTTGCCATACACCGTCATATTTTTATTAAGCGATTACCGAAACAGTAAATCTTTTTACGGCTCTGCTCCTCTAGCATGACCACCGAAACGGGATATGATAAAGCGATATATCGGCATTAACTGTCAGACTACTGTGAAACTCCACTGTAGTCTGACAGTTAATACCGATATGTCGCTTTATTATATCCCGTTTCGGTGGTCATGCTAGAGGGGCTGAAACATTGTTGATATATTTTTGGAGTAAAGTTACATTTCTTTTTTCGAAACTGAAAGTTGTGTTTTATACAGAAAGCAATTGTTCTACGCAGTAGAACCGTTAGAACTCTCTAATTTTAGATTTTTTATCTACTCTGATACTAACAGTATAATACAAAGATTCTAAAACTGAAAACAAAATGCTTATGACAAACATTACGTACAGGCCAATAATAATAATAAAAAAGTTTAATTACGATACAGGTCTTGTATGGACACCTGTAACATAATATAACTTTTTAATCATAACGATACACCTATACAACATCCAGCTGGACCAAGGAGGTTGAACCTCTACTTTAAAAAGGTTTCAATGAACGAGTCCGCGACGACGCAACACGCATGCGCAATCGATGTTTGCACCTTGGCGCCAACATTTGATATTTAAAAAATCTTTTCAATATTTAAACAAAGTTTGGTTTCGTTTAGCGATGCGCGACTACGAATGATTTTACCTTTCGACTAATTCGTAACTACTAATTAGTCTATTCGAAAGGCAAATTAGTAGTATACTAATGTCATTATTCGAATAACGACTACCAATTAGTAATACTAATGTCAAATGTCGCTACGTGCGATACACGCCGCCCGATACCTTCGACTCCAGTCGAATGATATAAAGCGCAATCGACTTAGTCGAATGATTCGTGAAGTCGAATGATTAGTATTAGTATTATTCGACGTCGCTCATCACTAGTTTCGTTTGTAAAATACATAAGTTTTTGTGTAAAAACATGTCTGAAAGCGGGGATAGTGGTGATTTTACACCACCAGATATTCTGGAAGCTGCGTCAAACATGACCATGAACCTGTTGTCGGCGAAATCTAGGAGCAACTATAATAAATGTTACCACGAATTCATGGAATGGAAAATGAATAAAAATGCTTCATCATTTTCTGAAAATGTGTTGTTAGCGTACTTTCAAGAGTTATCTGAAAAATATAAAGTGTAAAGTATGTGGGTTAAATACTCCATGATTAAGAGTACACTCAATATTTACAACGAAGCTGACATAACTAAATATAGCAAGCTGATTGCATTTTTGAAACGAAACTCACAAGGATATAAAGGGAAAAAATCCAAGACTTTTACAGCAGAGCAGATAAATATGTTCTTAAATGAAGCCCCAGACACATTATATCTCTTCACAAAGGTATTTTAGTTGTTTATCAGTTAACCATGTACATTTTTTTGTTAATATTGAGTTAATTTACCGATATATGAGTTGTTACAGATTGCACTATTTTTTGGTATAATGGGTGCTTGCCGACGGCAAGAGTTATACAACATACAATTCAAAGATGTTGAAGTCTTCGAAACTACACTATTGATCAAAATAAGTAAAACTAAAACCAAGACGGACCGCTCTTTTACCGTTACTGGGAAATATTATGAACAATGCAAAAAATACATAGAGCTACGACCAACTGAGTGCAGCAATCCCAGTTTTTTTCTAAACTATATTGCCGGAAAATGCACGATGCAGAGAGTTGGCATTAACAAATTTGGAGCTTTAGGCAAAGTTATTGCCAGCTATCTTCGACTTACCGACCCCGAATTGTACACAGGACACTGCTTTCGCCGAACATCTGCGACCTTGCTAGTTGATGCTGAGATATAACGGCACTAAAGCGACACGGTGGCTGGAAGTCAACGACAGTTGCAGAAGGCTATATAGATGATTCAATGACTAACAAGATCGCTGTATCCAATTCAATACTTAACAGTATTGAAAATAACAGAAATGAGTGAAGTGAGAAATGAATGAGTCAACATTAACATACCCTCTCTGAGTACCTCCAATAACGCTTCCTGTCCGGTTCAAATTCAGTTTCATAATTGTAATATACAGAACATCAATAATTATTACAAGTAAAAATAAATTTGTTGTTATATTCAGCGTTTTATTTGCAATATTGTTTTACGTATTATAGTATGAGAGTAGATAAAGTAGTGTATGACACTGTACATAACTTGGTCTTATAACACTCGTGTGATGCTATAAAAAAACTCATGTTATAAGAACCCTTATTATGCAACAGTATCATAAACTACTATTTAGGCAACGGTTTAATATTACTTATACATATTATAAAACAAAAGGTAACAAAAATCATGGAACTAATTGTGTAGATACTTTGGAACAATAAATAATGTATTTTTCAGTGTCTTTTTTAAAAAATGATATATTGCATTTTGTGAACTCAGAAAAATCAGCCTTTTCGTGTCCCTAGGGGAAAAATAAGAAAAATGCGATGAAAATCATAAATTTTAAGAAAACTTTACTTGGTAAATTTAGTAGCGCGTCTGCCCGGATAACGGAGGCCGCATCCTGACTGACACCTGTACCAAGTGGTTTTTTCTAGTATTTCTTTTAAGTGCAGTTTAATACTCAAACCACTGTAATATCGTAGGTGTTGTAGGGTCGCCATGTGTGATATATTAGGATGTAAGATCAGATGGTAGACGCATGATGAAGGAAGCTCCCCTTGGACGTAGGTTCGGTGGCGAGGAATGAGAGATATTTTAAAGCCACCTGTTTATTGTACGGCATCGTGTTAATTAGTCCTCAGAACTACGTTAATATTATAACAGAACATAAGTGTTAAGTCAGCTTTACGTATATAGCAGTCAATGGTTATGTGTTACGGTACAAGTTGAAACCCGGGTAGATTGTGGTGTAGTGTATGAATTTAGGAGTATTTTTAAAATTTTATCGAGTAGGACAACATCTGCGAGATTCCTAGTATGTAATAAAAACTTCACCCGTTTTTATGAAACTTTTACCACTTTTCTAAATATCTAGGTACAACTTGTTTCTTCCCATAATAACTTATATAGTATCTAAAATATAATATTATTTTTAGAGTATGTAAGCCTAGCTCTCACTGCGGATAGGATCTCTTTAAGGTAAATATAGTTGTTGACCACAACCTTTTGTAAATAAACAACCAAAAGCAACATGGTGTGCATTAAAATCATCAGCTATAAACATGGGCGAGGGAAGGTTTTTAATTATATTGTTCATTTTAACATGGTCACTTCTAGGAGGCCGATAAACACAAAGAATTTTATCGTCAGATTACCATGATTTTTAAAACTGCTAATGCGACCGTTTGTACATCTTCATAAAAAGTTGTATTTATTAAAATTTCAACACCACCATGCTCATTTTTTTAATTTTCAAAAGGAATTTTATATCCAGGTATGTGAAACAGTTTGTTTGGTTTAATCCAAGTTTCATTGACCAGATTTATTTTTACTCATAAAATTTATTAAAAAGGGGTTTTATATATATTTATTGTAAACAATGAATATTATATTGTACAATACGTAACTGAAAAATTGTTACAGGACCACTATTGATTATATTAATTCAGGTTTTAATATAAATATTAATTGATTGCAAGGTGGTAGTACAAGCTGAATCACTCGTATAATACCAAGCTCTACCAAAGTGCGTACTATAGCCACATATACAATAAGTCATTGATGTGCAGTAGTAGAGCTTATAATCAGAGTTTGTATTTATTGCAGAAGTTTAGTTTAGGGGGTTTAGTTACATTCTATGGTTTATTTACAGAAGTTTGACTGTATATATTTACAGAAGTTATGTGTATTTAACATACGGAAGTTTTTGTCATACGTTTCTGCCTTCGTTTCAGCAATGCTAGCGTATGTGATTTTAGATTTCTTTTCGATATTTTTTCTATTTTGATGGGGCATAACTTGGAGATACCTAAATGAGGCCCACTGGAATTGACACAGGTAACCTGATCCGGTTTTTCGCAGTATTTATTTACCATTGCAGACTTTAGCTGATTAGTCGAATTTAAAGCAAGAAAATTGGAGGCATCGATAGCATTTAAATCTAAAGAAAAGTTTACTAGAAAAAAATCCACGCGGCTTGTAAAAGTATTCATTTGACAATTCAAAACAAGAGTAAACTTACTGAGACCCGAAAACAGATTTGTTTTATTCAGTCTTAAAAAATAATTAGGTTTTAAATCCAATAAGTGGCCAATTAAAAAGGTGAAAACAGGATTATGTGAATTATAGCAGAGAATAACGCTCCCATTAAAAGAGATAACTTGCTAATTATTTTCGCCCAGCTGAATTAAACGAACTTGAAAAAGAAATTACAGGATTTCTTTATACAGCAAAATAACAGCATACAGATATGGTCGAATTTTAAATTACAATGCAATAATTTTATAGTTTTTAAAATATAGTTAGTGCAAGGATTAAAAATGTCGCTTAGCAAAACACTTAACACAAGACTCAAAGACGCTAGCGCTACAACAAGCAAAAAATTCACAATGATATAAAATGAAATTACTTATGTGGAAATTACTCACCTTGAAACAAACGAAGAGCGAAAATGGCATTGTGATGACGACCAAGACCCAAGACAGTGCCACCAAGATCTTACCGCACGTTTTTGACTCAGAATCAGCGTCTTCATTAGCTACGACAATACGTTATACTCCAATTAATAAATGACATTTATAAAAAAAAAGTAACAAAATGTTCCATTTTTTGGATGAAAATTAAAAAAAACTTTAAAAGCCCATTCGAAACTTATTACAAAGTTCTTACTAGATGTTATGGTCGGATATAAGTGTTGACGGCTGGACATTTCAACCATCATGTTCGAATTGACCGTTACGAACAACTCGCGACACACACGGGTGGCTGGTTACTGACACTTGCCCTCTGCCACATCTGTGCCATTGCCTGCGTTATTAAATAATTCACCGTGGGAACTGGAAGGTGGGTAAGGTGGCTAACGTTACCGTTAACCTAAAAACATTACGTTTGGTTATAGAAAAATAAAATAAGCTTTTTCATTACCTGTCGACTCGGCGACTACGACAGTGGTGGAGTCAGAGTAACGCGCCATGGTTGCGGCCCGGCTGCGGTCTAGCGACGGCCGCGCGCTACAACAGTCACAGGCGGACTGGAGGCTGCGGCGACCGCGCCAGGACTTTTGCAGGTGCTGCGAGTTCCCCCCTTTTATTTGGGATCGCGCGTGCCTGTGTTTTAGGCTGAAACTTAGTTGCGCGCTCCGTGCTCAGTTATGTCGCAGTTGGGACATGAAAGCTCTTTTGTCCTATTAATTCGCACACTTATTTACATTAGTGGCATTGTATTATGGACACGGCCTAGTTAGCCAGGACGGTGCAGTAAAGAATGACTGTGGAGTCACGTGATGAATCGAGATTCACAGTCAGAGTTATAAAAGAGATGTATACCTACTTGCAAACAATACGCGATATTGATTTGCACATAATAAAACAAAACTAATAACACTTTTTTTTTATTTGGACTAATTATTGATTTATTATTACTGATTGCTTTGCATATCTTTAGAATCTTTAGAAGTGTTAGATAGAACCCACATATATATATTTTCTTTATTCCTAGAATAGAATGACAATATTGGTTGTAATTATTTAATATTAAGTTGATTAATAATGACCTCTTTCTAGTAATTACGTGGACTGGGTCTTCAGTATTATATATTGATACCCTGACTGCTCCGCTTATTACTTTTAATTTTGTAAGGATTTTTATTATGTGCTAGTTTTACTTCGCAAATAGTTAAGAAAAGATGGCGTGCTATAAGTATGTGATCATTTTACAAGTGATGGGATGATAATAATCTGACACTTTTTCACACATTTTCAACCGGTTTTTTGAGCGTAGCAGACATATGAACTTGGGAAGGAATCATCCCCGTATCAACTCGAGCCGTTCAGTATTCTTTGTATGAAACTCCCTACTGCAATTTTAGCATGTGCAAAATGCATACTATTCAGAATCGTAATGTAATCACTTTTCTTAGGGACACGAGCTTGTCCGAGACGAAGCGATTACGTTACGATTTCAATTAGTGAGCGACCCCTTTTAGAGTTCATATGTCTGATACGGCCATAATGCGTAAAATAACATCATAGAGGTAGCTAGCCTATTATTGGACGCATGTTAACTTTTAGTCTTATGTATTCCGCACTAAGCCCATATCTAATTTACAGACCTTTAACAACTCAGTAATAACAAAAAAAAGGAAGAACATGACTGTTATGATGTCAATTTTATTATTTAAATATGCTTATAAAATACACTTCTTCTTCGAAGTAAACGGGGCAGGCACTTTTATGACTGTTTTAGGGTTTGGCACATCAGTTTATGCGGGCTTTACCTCTGGGAAACCTTTGTTTTCCCAGCCAGAGCCCGTGGCATGTCGTTAAAAGGCTATCACGAGACCCGCCCTGCGTGTTTCATTTGCCAAACCCGTATCTTAGCCTCGCGTTTGAGAAAAAAAGCCGTTATTATATTTTATTTCATAAAATTTGTGTCATAATGATAACTTTATGTACTTTCCTACTTTGTTTTTTAATCGTAAATTATGCAAGTTTACTTCATCAGCCTTTTTATACCTTTATTTTTTATTAAAAAGTCTTCATGTTTAATGATGACATGTCCGTCATCGCGACTACCAAACTACACACTTATAATTTAAAGTAAATTTTCACCCAATACCTATATATGTGACTGATCAGATGAAAAAAAAAAAAGTTTGGCTTTCTCATAAATTATTAAATGGCAAGCAGTACCATCAAAACTTCATTATAATATACCTAGATGAAGATGTCTATGATCTTCATTTAGTTCAAATTAATTAATAATCTTACTATCTTGATGTTGCGACATTTAATTTTTTTTTTTAAGTTAATTAATAATAGCCTGTCCAAGATTTTTTATTCAACCCATTTTAATGTATTTTCTTATATACAAAATTCATGATAAAATATGTTTCATTATATTATTAGCTCGGTGAAGGTTGATGTAGGTTCGCATCTTAGACCATATCGATTACGCTAAACAAAATGGTAGAATAAAATGTAGAAAAATATTTTTTCTTGCATAGCTCGCCTACATGTAACCTGAAGATAATTAGTTTTTCATCATCTACCCAATTTTTAACTAAGTAATCACTTAAAATCTATATTTTAAGCGATTACATAGTTAAATAATAAATAAATTTAACCACGCTGACGAAGTCGCAGACATCCTCTAATATCCTATTGAGCCGATTATTGCAACAAATATTTGTTATCATAATACGAGAAATATATAGGTATGAATGAAAATAAAACACCTTTTCATTCTTATGAATTATTTATTATCCTGACAAAAACAACAATCATCCCAAGCCATTAGCAAGCCTGTACATCTGGCTTTTCATGTTGTACAGTAATAGAAACTATCAAAAGTCAAAAAACATTTATTCAAATTGGATGCAAAATACAACTCTTTTGAATCGTCCATATTTTTTCCCTACCACCACTTAAGGACATATTTTTTTTAGCTGTGGCGAAAAACTGGCGAAAAAAACTTCACAGCGTTAAATAATTATATATGTAACAATATTTACAAAAAAATATATTGTTACGGTGTCAATACAAAATCAATTCATCTTCATCACAATTATAGAAAAAGACTGCCGGAAAGTTTGGAACAGTTTAAACCCAAGCATTTTTGTCTGAAATATAATAAGACACTTTATAATAGGTTTTATTAATAAGAACTCTTTTAATGGTAGTTTTAAATTTATTGATGATATAATGAGGTTGCCAGCCTATCTCTCATGACATTTTCCGAATATCCCTGTACATAGATAGACTTCGTCTAGAATTCGGAAGTCAGTAGCTATCACGCTTTTCTTTCACTTCGATCAACAATTCTATAGATAACGGGTTGCATACAGAATCAAAGCTAAAAATAGTCCGCGTATGTTTAAACTTACGCAGCTACATTCGTTTCCCAAAACACAAAGATAAATGTTTTAAAATAGTTTAAGTTGAACCTAATAACAACTAGCTCACAAAGGAATAAAGTTACAAATAACAAAATGTTATTTCGAACATACGACCTTCTATCTTATAAAATATTGTTTTTTTTTTATATATATTAATATCTGATACTTGGAAAAAACGATAAAGATGAAAAAATGAAAATGCGATATCAACCTTATGCCCTACAAAATAAAATATTTATCCCAGTCATTGAACAGCGAGTTACTTCGTTTTGTATTAACCGAACTAATTTAAAAAAAGATCTCACGCTTCAAGTGAGGCTATATTTGCCGTGACGGATTTTACGCGCTAACCCGTTATCTATAGAATTATTAATCGAAGACTAAGGCCCGTATTACAGAATAACAACTAAGTGTTGATCTTAACTTGAGTACAGTTAGAAAGGGATGTCGCTATGTGCTATATATAGCGACTCAAGACTAGATTAATTACTGAGAATCTTTCTATAATACGGGCCTAAGACAATTTATATAATGATTGAAATTGAAATCAAGAAAAGTATTATAATGATTGAAATTGAAATCAAGGTACTGCTAAGCTGTTTTGTCAATAAAATCCGTGAGCACACAGCCGCACTACTCCAGCAACACTAGCTCGATCTGGAGAAGTGCAGGCAGACCAAGCTCGCTTTGCCACGGGTGAACGCTGCCCTCTCTAAGACTCTTCTACGGCTAAGTAAATCTACAATGCTCATGGTAACTAGCGCTATTACAAGGCGTTGTGGCTTCGCTTTAAGATCTGCAACTTTCACAATGGTGGATCATGGGATGCGTAACCAAATATTTGTTATCTCGAATTCTTCTATGCTTTGGAAGGTATGGCAAGACGTTGGCTGCGGCTTTATCTGCGGTCTTTTTCGCTCATCACTCCGCACTGGCCCTGCTAGTGGGTAATGGCACATACCTACTCTGTTTATGAAGAGGGCCTGTGCCCCAGCATTTTTCCAACAATTCTCGACCTCAAATCGCCCGTAAAATATTTTTCCTCTTTTTATGTGTTCTTCTTCCTTTTGAAATGGGTTACACCCTGTTCTGATTTTGATTGTTCTCAAAAATTAACCTAGTGCCTTGACCTATGTAACAAATAAAAAACAAACCTAAATGTAAAAATTCTATTAAATGTTGTAAAATAAAAATATAAAAAAATACTGTAAACTTTATAGAAAATACACCTTACATGATTAAGAATACAGCTTAAATTTAGATAACATTATTCGTACATGGCTGTTGTACGAAATTTAGACAGAAGCCTCTGTTGTCGATGTCCACTGGAGCTTCTACATTGTCCGTATGCAACCACAGTCTGAAAGGTTTCACGGTACCTGAGAACAAATAAATATTGATTTATAAGACAATCATTAACGATTTATTGAGGTTACTACACTTTTAGTGTAGTGGATGGTGCAGATGAAACTGATTGCTTTCGTTTGTACCATCAATATGAATACTACAATTTTTCCCTTTCTTTCCTCATCATAAAAAATTAAAGTTGACAAAACAAATTAATGCCGAATAAACAAATAAACTGCAAATCTTCGATTATGGAGTTTATTTTCATTATGATACAAATAGGATCACTGCCGTCATGTACCAAAGAGTCGTCAGTTTATTTTGTATTTGTTTTGAAGTCAAATTTTAAAGTCTCCCCTTTTTTAAACTAACTAACTAACGTATTTGTATTTAATTATTGTGACCCAAAGGGCGCTTTCAATTTATGCGTTTCTTGACGGCCTGCTGCGGTGCCGAAGCGGCGCGTTTGTCGTACAGCGTACGGACGATTATTTTTTTTCACACAAAACGCGCGGTGCGGCAACAGTCCTGTTGTCGAGCGTTCGCGGTACCGGCGCCGCACTGTTGCCGCACCGCGCGTTTTGTGTCAGCCGGCCGTCAAGAAACGCATAAATTGAAAGCGACCTAAAAAGCAATATGTAATAATAAATTACTATGTAAATTTCTCCATATTCTGGTCAGTTTTGAGTCTGTTTCGTTTGTGTGTAAAATGAGAATTTAATTTGAAAAATACTCGGCCATGGCTAAATGCAAAATTTTCAAAACGTAAAAGTCTGTAAAATTATGATTATGATGAAATAAGAATTTGAAATAAGAATGAAATTAATTATATACTTATTCTTTATGCCTCCTCTACACGTGAACGGATGCGTCCGCAGATGCAAAAGATGCATCAGAAGATGGATCACCACGAACCGACCGCACGTCTGATGACGTCGATAGGTTATTCAGTCTGTTTTCATTTTCGACAGACGAAACTCGTACGCACACAATATTATAACACACAAAATAAATGTTGAGATCGTAGCTGCCGTGATGATTTATTTATTTAGTACTTTCAACTACTACTTATTAAATGTTGCGTTACTGCTCATAATATTAGCCATTTCGGCGAACGAGAGTAACAAACAAGTAAAAACTTGACGACCTCCGTGGTCGAGTGGTTTGTACGACGGGTTTCATGGTGTTGCCGACTCGAGAGGTCCCGAGTTCGAATCCCGGTGGTGGTATATGTTTGTGGGATGAATACGAGCATTTGTACTCCAGTCATGAAATCAGAAATCAGAAATCAATATATCTTTATTCAAATTGGATGTATAGTACAACACTTTTGAATCGTCCAAACATTTTTTTCCCTACCACTTGTTTTTGGACATATTTTTTAGCTGCGGAGAAAAACGAGCGAAAAAAACTCCACAACATTAAAAGAATAATGTAACAACATTTACAAATCATTATGTTGTTACAACGTCAATACAATCATGATTTATTTAATATAGAACACCTGTTGGAATGATTGGAACAGTTCAAACCCAAGCATTTTTGTCTGTAATATAATCAGACACTTTGTAATAAGCTTTTTTAATAAGTGCTTTTTTTATACTATCTTTGAATTTATTTATGCTTAACTCTTGGATATTGCTTGGGACTTTATTGTATAAGCGAACACAAAGACCTTTAAATGAATTATTGATTTTGTGAAGCCTAGTAGCAGGTAAAGTTAGTTTATTTTTGTTTCTTGTATTAAGTGTGTGAACATCACTGTTTTTAAGAAACAAATTAATATTTGTTCTTACAAGTAATAAATTTTCGTAAATGTATTGTGATGCGACCGTCATTATACCAAATTCTTTAAATCTATCTCTTAAGGAATCCTTAACTTTAAGATTATAAATTGATCGAATAGCACTATTCTGCAGCACAAAAATAGTTTGAATGTCGGCGGCATTTCCCCACAATAAAATTCCGTACGACATTACACTATGGAAATAACTAAATTATACTAATCTGGCCGTATCTACATCCGTTAACTGGCGTATCTTCATTACGGCATATGCTGCAGAACTAAGTTTTTTTGTTGTTTATACTTATTTAATTTTCCGTCATGGGTTGCCTGGAAGAGATTGCTATTAAGCAATAAGGCCGCCCATTGTGTAATGTCTCTCTGTCAGTGTAATCTTACTGTTATGTCCATTGTGGTGTTATACAATAAAGAATATTATTATTATTATTAAGTCTATTTGACAATTTATCAATATGTGGGCCCATTGAAGCTTAGAATCTAAAGTAATCCCTAAGAATACTGTGGTGTCTACAAGGCCCATATTCCTATCCTTTACATTCTGTTTTACATGAGGTAATACAAATTTCATACATTTCGTTTTTCCTTCATTTAGTAATAAATTATTAACATTAAACCAGTGGACTACCTTAGAGATACAACTGTTCACGTCGTCAATAACTGTTTCCTTACGTTTGAGTTTAAATAAAAGTGATGTATCATCTGCGAACAATACTATCTCATGCTTATCTCTAACGTAGTAAGGTAAGTCATTAATATAAATTAAAAATAAGAAAGGACCAAGGATTGAGCCCTGCGGAACACCCATTTTAACCGGCGAACCAGCAGACTTATTGCCGTTAATGTCAACCCTCTGAATCTTATCCATCAGGTATGACGCAATAAGATCCAGATCAGTATCTCTAAATCCATAGTGGTGGAGTTTCCTGAGTAATGTTTCATGAAAAACGCAATCAAAAGCCTTGAACAAGTCGCAAAACACACCTAGAGCGTCCTGCGAGTTCTCCCAGGCGTCAAAAATTTGTTGTATAAGTTCAACACCGGCATCGGTTGTTGAACGACCCCGTGTTAAACCAAATTGTTTACAGTGAAGTATATTATATTTATTAAAATGTGATTGCATTTGATCTAACATGATTTTTTCGAAAATTTTACTAAAGGTGGGTAGCACAGAAATTGGTCTAAAGTTTGTGGGGTCTAATGTACTTCCCGTTTTATGCAAAGGAGTTATTTTACTGTATTTCATGAGGTCAGGAAAAACACCACAGTCAACACAATCATTAAATATGCAAGCTAGAATAGGAGCTATTGTCTCAATTACCGATTTAGAAACATCAACAGAATTGCCCCACAGATCCGCGGTTTTCTTTTTATTTAATTGGTGAAACGATTTAATTACATCTTTAAAGTCAACATGTTTAAAATGAAAATGTGTACAAGGTTTCACGTTTTCTCTTAAGATTGATTCGGCAGCAATGGGGGAAAAGTTCAAAGATTTAGTAGTTGAAACTGGAATATCAGTAAAGAAATTTTCGAAAGCTGTAGCAACTTCAATATCTGAAGTAACCCTTTTATTATCAATATTTAAGTTATAATTATTATTGCGAGTTTTGGATTTTCCAGTTTCATCGTTTATAATATTCCATGTCGTTTTGATTTTGTCGTTACTGTTCTTAATCTTTGAACTTAAGTAATTTGATTTTGCTAAGCGGCATACTTTTTTAAACAATTTAGAATAGTTACGAACATGCTCTTTAAATTTTTCACTAGTGTTACAGTTTCTTTCATTATAAAGTTCATAAAGTGTCCTTCTACTTTTATGAATTCCAGGCGTAGCCCACTTAGTAAAAGTTACCGCATCATTAACACAGATTTTTTTGGGTACAAAAACATTATTAAATTCAGTGCAGTATATATTAAAAAAATCATTATATAAATCATTTGGACTGTCTTTATATTTTAGATAACACATTTTTCTATTTAAATGAGTTTTAAAACGTTCCACACGATTAGCAGATTTTGGTACAACAGTGATGTGTTTTTTTGTCACCTGCTTGAGCTGATATGGAAATGTAATCAACTGGCCACAATGATCACTATCTAGTTTATTCATAATTTGTTTTTTCTGTGGTATGATATCTGTATATATATTATCAAAACAAGTGGCCGAAGTGGCAGCTATTCTAGTAGGCTCAATGAATAAGTTTTTCAGATTGTATGATTGAAATATTTTTTTTATTTTAGTACTGGAACTAGATTTTTCTAATAAATCAATATTGAAGTCACCACAGACAATCAACCGTTTGCCTGTAGTGTTAGTTTTAATTTTTATTATTTTTAAAGCATGTAACTGCTTGATGTTTAAATCTAAAGAAAATATAACTAGAAAAACATCAAGCAGTTACATGCTTTAAAAATAATAAAAATTATAACTATAATTGCTATTTCTTCTTTCAAATGTTTAATACTTGTAAAAGTATTCATTTGACATTGTGGGTTTACCTATAATGCGAAGAGATGGCGCTGCCTTGCAGCTTAAGAATAGCTAGAAAGAATTTCGACGCGGTCCGTGAGGGCCGCGGTAGCATAATTGGTCAGTGCATTCGCCCGGATTGCGAAGGGTGCGGGTTCGAGTCCCGTCTGCTGCCTGGTCCGCGTGGAATTTTTTCTAGTTATATTTTCTTTAGTGTTAGTTTTCTTAAGAGCTTCATACATGATAGCTTCAAAACAATCATACAATGCTGATGGAGGTACGCTCAATACAACAAGCCGGTCCAGTTCCACACAGGCAATTTCTATTGATCGCTCAACCGAGAAGCTCACAATATCTCTTCGTTCCTTAAATTTTTATTTTTATTCAATAACTAGCTGTGCCCGCGACTCCGTCCGCGCGGATGTCGGTCTTCGCGTGGATGGTTTATTTGTCCATTTTGAGTAACTCTGACAATGACATCAAATAAATATCTATTGGACCCACATACGGCTAGGCCTATAATACTTAATTAAGGAGATCCCTCTATTGAGCTACTGCTGTTGAGCTTGCGTTCTGTAGTAAGTATTTTTTTCATAGTAATTCCGACCTTTATAAGTAGCATGAAGCAGTAAATTATTGACAGTGACGAAAAGTTTGCAATAATTAAAAAGTGATTGTGACAATGCGACAGAAAGTTAATTGAGAGCTTCAGCATACACAACATTGTTAGTGAGCTCGTCCGGAATATGAACATGAAGATTTCTTGGACTGCTTACACGGGAAAGAGCTACGTAAAGTTGCCCGTGTGAAAAACAACTCGCGGTAAGATCTACGCCAGCAACTCCTAGGGTCTGACCTTGAGCCTTATTTATTGTCATGGCGTAACACAAAGCTACAGGAAACTGTATTCTCTTAAATTGAAATGGAAAATTGTTGGGAATCAATGGTATTCGAGGGATTAAAACACTTTCCCCGGCACCACAACCGGTTAAAATTTCAGCTTCAATTACGTTAGGTTGTAAATTAACCACCTTCAATCGAGTGCCGTTACAAAGCTTCGGAGGACTTAAATTACGAAGAAGAATAATAGGAACGCCGATTTCAAACGGTTCAAGCCAAATCCGACTTTCGGCGCTACAGGCTACGGCGCTGAATCCACTGTGTGTTCGCGGTTCTACAGAATAACGTCAATGAATAAAACTGAAAAATTAAGATTTTTTTTTTCTACGTATTTTTCCAGGATAAAAAGTATCCTATTTTATGCCCAGGATAATAAGGTATAATTATACCAAGTTTCATCGAAATCGAACCGTTAGTTTTTACGTGATGCCTGAACATACAGACAGACAGACAGACAGACAAAAATTTTACTGATTGCATTTTTGGGATCACTAACGATCCCTTATCACCCTTTGCTAGTAATTTTTTAAATATATTTAATGTACAGAATTGACTTCTCTACAGATTTATTATAAGTATAGATATTAAAGAGCCACCACGAATTGCATTTTCTCGATTGAACAAACTACCAACCTGATGATTATTGAAATTAAATATATTCTGACAACTTTTAAGCCAGTGTTCTGTAATACAAAAAATATCTATATTATTACAATTCATGAATAATTCAATTTCTAAGTCCTTACCCATCATTCCTTGAATATTAAGATGCACCAGGTTGATAAAACTTACATTTTTTGCAATGTTTTTGGATGGTTTTTTTTTTTTATCTATATTAACAAAACAATTATTTTTATTTACATTATTATTTAATGTGCAAGAAGAATTATCTTTTGTCTGATTGGTTAATTTAAATATTTATTATGATTTTGGGTGGTTTCAGTAGAATAGTTACTGATTGTCATGTCAATAGAATATTGCTCAATAGGAGCAAGTTATTTAGCCAAATTCTTGGCTGACATAAAAAAGAAATATGATAGAGACTTAGCTACCTGTCTTTTATTATAATTGGAAAGATAATATTTATCTTTCGTCAAATAAAAATTTCTAACATAATTGTTAGAGTCAATCAAATGATATTTATTGCCTTTACAAATTGTATACAAAAAAGCATATTTAATTTGTATCTTAACAAATTTTCCTCCTTTGGCAGACTGTTGCAGTAAGGCAATGTGAACAATTCAATTTTTTTCACATTTAATGCATTTAAATCTGTCACATATTTTATTAATAACTTTTTATTCAAATTGCCTCTATTTCCTATAAAAAACAACAAGGTGTGGCATTTACTGTAGCTATGCTTACTTGCCTTTTCTAAAATATCATTATAAGAGGTACCAGGCATACAGTAATTTGTTATCGAATGTCCCATTTTAGATATAAGAGGGCCCATATTCTTCCCAATTTCATCACTAAACATTATAATATTGTTATTTTTATTACCTAAAGATGCATTTCTTGAGTGAGTTACTTTCACTGACGTCAAATGTACCAATTGGCTGATGTTGGGAATCAATAGATATAGACTTTTGTTGTAAAGTGGAGGAGTCACAATTGAGCGATGATTGAGTTCCCAACTGTTTACAGTCATAAGTGTGATTATTAGTTAACGAATTAAATCTTTCATTATTGTAATTACATAAATCAATTAACTCATTCATGGCCTGCATGTGTTCCTTCATTTCACATTGTGCTAATTCATATTTTTTGGTTACACTTGAGAGACAATCTTGCAGTTTATCTATTTTACTTTGTAAAATTTGAGTATCTGTTTCATATTTTAAACAAATGTTATTATATTTTGCAGAATAAATGTCCAATTTATCAATTAACTGTAATCTCTCCCTGTTTAATTTAACATTTTTTATAAAGAATTTTTGTTTTTTAATTAACTTTTGAGTTTTTTTAATATATCTATTAATTTTTACATATTTCTTTAATTTGTTTCTATTACATCCAACAACCCCCAATTTGTTATTTCTACTGTCATTACATGTAAGATCTATTGTTACAATTGGTTGGTTATTGGTTGCAGCAGAAACCATCTCTGGAGCATTGACTACCAACTCATCAAATAAGCTCCGATTCAACGAGGCAATTATATTGTTTTTGACGTTTCTAAAAGTGATATTGTATTATTTGCTTCATGTAATTGTTTTTCCAGCATGCTGCAATGCTTGGTCATACTCACTTCTACTTTGATCAAAGCCATCTATGATGAATTGGAGTCTGTCCCGAGTATCAATAGCATCAATGCACTGTTTGTGAAGTTCTGCCATTTCGCTCTTTAACTTTTGATTTTTATCTAAAATGTCTATTAATTCCCTCTCATTGTCATCGCGTTTCTTGTTTAGTTGGTTACATAAATCCTTAGAAGCTTTGAGTTCTCTCAAAGTCAGTTGAAGTTTAGACTCCTCTTGACGAGACAAAGCCTTACGAGTCATCATTTTTATATAAGATTAATATTACCTTAGTTGAAATTTAATTAATGTATGTATTTAAATACAACAAGACTTATTTAACCAACAATAGCAAAGATATGTAGGTATTTTATAAAAAAAAAATTACCAAAGTTTTTGACTATTCTATGGTTTACACACTTTACTAATATAGAATAAAGTAATAGTCAAGGTATATTAGAATCTAACTTGTAAAAATAACTTACTGAAATTAAGAAAATATCTTGAAAACAGATGACAATGATTCACAATAAAGCCGGTAACTGTCACAGGTTATTTTTACGTAATTTCACTCACTTTACAATCGTTTTATATATTAGCACTTAGTATTTAATTATTATTTAATGATATTATTGGTTTTAGAGCAAAATTCCTTTAGATTTATAATTTTTATTGAATAAAATTAAAGGGACAGTTGAAAATCAGCTGTTTAGCCAGTGTTGCCAGAGGAGGAAATCATGGATATTTAATATGTATTTATTTATTTAATATGTCTTTCTATATAAATATACATGTATATGTACTGTATATGTATTATATTCGTTACTTTAGTATCCCATAACACAAGCTTTTCAGTGCTTACTTTGGGGCTAGGCTGATTGGTGTGTGTTGGAAATATTTATTTATTTAAAATATAATTGCAAGTACGCGTCCACTCTCATTCGCAACTCCAGTACTACTGATGAATCGTGAGACGTATGGACAGACAGAATCCCTTTGTTGCGTGCCATAAAATCGACTACTAACGGATTGATGGCAGACGCATCTGCGGATGTTAAATACCACAGACGCGCAAACTACCCCCTCTACACATCGGCCACCAAAAGTGCACATCTACATAAATAAACCAGTGAGAAAGTGGCGAGTTGTACATATTGTAGAAAAACTTTGTCATACAAGGGTTTGAATAAAAATATTAACTGATATTTTTAACCATTAAAACTAACAGTTATTTTTATTTAATTGTTAACTATTTTTTATATTTATTCCCAACTACCAACATCGCAATCCAATAATAAATTTGTTGCCTTTTAGCCATTTTTTTTACTTGAATTGCCCTATGTTGTCAATTTATCCATTATTTATAAATTATCATGTAATAATAAGCTACAGGTCAAATTACTTACCAATCGGAGAAATAGGGATAAACTTTTGTAATAAACCGTCGACAGTAAACGTCCGACAGGAATATAAAAATAAATTTTCTTAAAATTTTTACTCTTGTAAGTTTTGCCCTTCATTTTTTTGCTGCCTATTCTGAGTCCCTACAGCCTTCGATACGCTCAGGTAACTTTAAATATAATGTAGAAATAAGAAAAAACATTATTTAATTAGAATTTCGGATATTTCAACGCTAATTTCCGAACGCTTAATAAAAGTCTATCGAAGATAGCTCGACAAACTAAATATAAAAATCATTATTCTGACGACGCTTTCCTGCAAAGGCTGCGAAACGTCAATAAAATAAAATCAGTGCATGTAACCCGTTGAAACTTGTTTTATTTAATAAGTGATGTGCGTGAAAATAAAGAAACAAATAGAATTTATATACTAAAATATACATTATTTTTTGTTTAGATAATAAAAAATCAAAAGCACTGAAAGAAAATGGTAAACATTGCAATTTATACTATTAAAATCAAAATTCCATTTCAACCATAAACTGCAGCAAAAGTTCGAGGTCTAAACCTATCCTAACCTAACCCAGGCACTCTACTATATGCCGTTGGTTCCATAAGCGTCTTCAGTCTTTAGTATCACTTATCCATATACAGAGCACGCATACAATGATTTTCTTCCTGGGTATGATTAAGGTGACGTTATAGGCTAACACGGCAATGTTAGGTACTCACTCAGAACATTCGCTGGTGTCATGGATAACTGAGCTGAAAATGTCCCACCGCATATGCTGTCGGTTCAAAGGGGTTTGGGGTAGCTGTACTCGGCCAACGTAGGTCACGCTCGGCACCAATAGCCAATCGATTACGCAAAAGCTTGGGCCAGTGCCTGAGCCATCAGTATGATTTATTGTACCATAGGCTTTTTTATCAAAGTTAGGTACTTACTTAGAACAGTCGCTGGGGTCATGGATAACTCAGCTGAAAACGTCCCACCACATATTCTGTCCGTACAAAGGGCTTGGGCTGGCTGTATCCGGCCAACGTTGGTCGCGCACGGCACCAACAGCCAATCATTTGCGCAATTGTTTGGGCCAGTGCCTGAGCCAACCATAGCATTGACTGGACCGTTGCTGTTACCGCTCAGTGTGAAGGCACGGGACCGATTGTTTACTGGAATAGGAAAAGTTTCTATTATTTTCAAGAATACTTGTTGAGACGCAGCGCTTAAAATTCTCTTTACTCAATGGACCAGACTAGATTACATCTTTATTCTAAAAGCTCTAAGTAGGCCTTTGTAGTTTAGTGTTCGTGAACCTATTTTTGTATAATAGTCTCAAAACTCTTGATATTATTTAATAATTTTAAGTTATGCTCAAAGTCGAAACTGCTCCAGACTTAAAACCAAATGACCAAAAGTCATGGACGATTATTCAAAATTTTTTATCTTCCCTAGATGTTCGACCCCATATGAAGGGCTCAGGTGTGGTAGGAGTGTTATTCCGCTGCGCTGGAGTAAGTATCAGAATCCTCGCTTAGGATTATAAACTAAATAAGTAATAAAAACATGTAGGTAAAAAAGCCACAGGCCTATCTATATCTTACTGAAGTTTGTATTTTGAAACTGGCCGTAAGCCGTTGTTCTCGACTAAAACTCTGGTACTGGGCTCGCTATGTGAGTTATGGCCTATTCTCCATATTTTACTCATACGGATGCTTACTTCTTTACAGTTTTTTACAAAAATACGTGTGGCACTCTAGGACTGCCACGGTAAAGCTATTGCATAACTATTCAATTTTAATTATTTATTTATTTTATTTATGCAGTATTTTTTTCTTTGATATTAATTCGTTTTTTCTTTGATATTAATAGATGGCGAGGCAGGCCTTATGATATTTTATTGGGCAAGCACAGCAAACAACAGCTTTGCTTTGGGAAGTCTGTGGTCCCGATATAAGAAAAAATCGATGGACTCTCTGCGCGTGCAATACAATAACATTTTCAGAGTGATGTTGGGACTGCCCCGCTTCTGTAGTGCCTCAGGAATGTTTGCTGTAACTCGAACAAACGGTTTCCATGCCGTCTTGCGGCAAAAAGTTGCGTCCCTGATGTGTAGAGTGCGGAGCAGTAACAACACCATTCTGAGAGTCGTGGCAGGTGATCCGCATGCACCATTTTGGAAGCACTCTGTGCGAATGATGACTGAAATAGAAGTTAATTATTCTTCCTGGTGTCGTTCGCGCGGAGTGCCTTTAAGGTACATGACGTATTAAAAATCAAAACTTGTGAATACTTACTTATAGGCTACTAACCCTTAGTTATGTTATATTGTATACTAACATATGGATCTGTGTTGTCTGACAATAAATGATATTATTATTATTATTATTTTGCCCGGCGCCAAAAAACTTCCACAAGCTCCACAGTTTACCATCTTTAGTCCAAAATTTTAAATAATAATTATAAAGTCTAAATAAAAGGGAGACAAATAAAAATAAGAACAGGTGCTGGAGTCTAAAACAATAAAAAAAGGAAATAAAGATTTAAAAAAAATACAAAATACGAATGCGGGATTTGAACCGACGACCGTGGTGATGCGTCAAACGCTGGTCCCATGGCAAAAATTCAACACACTGCGCTGTTCAGATTAATATTAAAAAAAGTAAGGTTTTTTCGTTACGAAATTTCTTCAGTCGCCGCGCTCAAAGCCCGCGATAAAAGCTATACAATAGCTTAAAATTACCCCTTCCCTCACCCCCTTTAAAGTTTTTCACGAAAAAAGCTAATATCCATCTCCAGGATCCCGTGTATCTCTTTGAAATGTGTATCTCTTACTGAATTTCGAAATTCGTTACAATCGATTTAGCAGCTTACATGAACGAACCCTGAAAACAACACACTATTTTTTGGAGCAGTCGTGTAATAGACTCACGTTCGTATTCATATTAATTACAAGCCGGAGAACTTTAGTCTACACAGAACCTAAGCGTGAGCGAATCTTTGGTTAAAATATATCATAATAAAACCGGCCAAGTGCGAGTCGGACTCGCCCACCGAGGGTTCCGTACAAACCTAAAGATATATAATTATTCTTTAAAAAAATATAAGTGATGTAACTAAAAATTTGCGGTATCGCCTTTATGTGTGCTGTAAGACGCTGCTTCGGTCCAAATTTCAAGATTCTGAGTTCACGGGAAGTACCCTGTAGGTTTTGATTCTCTTGCGAGTTTCAATATTTGGGGAAATTTGCGGCATAAACTGCTGTATCTTTTGATTGCGTTGACGAAGTTTGATATTTTAACAGATCCAAGGGTTAGTAGACCTGAAAATTCGATATAAATTTCAGCTTGATACCTCCACGCGTTCCTGAAAAAAAGGATCTTGAGAGACGGACGGATGGATGGACAACAAATCAAAAGTGTTCCGTTTTTTCCTTTCGCGGTACGGAACCCTAAAAATGATAAAAAAAATAGTCATAAAAAAAATTACCAACATCCGGTACTGGTTATCTATTTCTGGGCTGGTTTCAGTTTATGATGAAAATGAAACTACCTCTGAGCAACCCTTTTTTATCAGTCGATAACATCGGATGTTATTGATATAATGCGCTTTACTACTTCTATTGCGTCGTTTTTTCGAAGCAGTATGTAACTTCATGACCGTTCTAATACAATGTAATGTACTAAAAACAGATATCGCAATAACGCATTCGTTATTATCGAGCTATGATTACGCGCATTTGGGGGAAGGCGTCTGGCTTGTAAGGGTCGCCGCACACGGGCCACACGCGACAAACACAAATGCTGTCACGCGAAGCTAGAAGTGGCAGCATTAGCAGGTGGTCGACACTTGCCGTCGGTGGCTGCTACTTTTTTTAACACATACGTGCAGTATTATAATGGACTCTGACGAAGAAGGTTTGAAGGTGGGGAATTGCGAGAATGGCGTGTGGCGGCGTTTTATATCGGTGCATTAGTGGCCGGTGCGAGCCACAAGAAGCGAGCAACGACGATTTGTAGCGCGGCCTCCTGTGTTAACCGTGTGGGGCGAGTCCATATAAAATGTATAAAAACTTCAGGAAATATGGCGGTGGCGGCGTTTTGTGGTTGCGGCCGGTGGCCCGTGTGCGGCGACACTTTATATGCGTAATTCTACTTTATCAAACTTACTTTTTTCTAAAAAAATAAATAATATAAAAAATTCACATTGATTCTAATTAATATCAGGTAAGGGTTACCATGTCCTTTAATCAAAGGCCTCATGAATTTTATGATATTGCGGGGTTTTGTTTAGCGTTTATTAAAATCGCAGCTGTATTTCTATCGAACGAAGGTTTCGGAGAATTAGTTATTAATATCTAAATGTTTTGTGGAATCACGATTTATACGGCGCGAGGCAATATTTAGCGGGATTATTAATTATACTGAAATGAGTCGGTGAAACGGACGGGATACGGTGGGATAGTTACGGGTTGTTTATCATAGTAGAGCCTGCATTGTTGTGTCACTATTCTTACGTTAATATTGTAAGCAGGTAACAATAATAACCTTTACTTGATTTTGAATAGTTATAAGGTCGCGCTCTGAGATATCAATAAAATTATTTCGTTTTCTGTAACTTTGAAGGAGGAATACTAAATTTATTTTTCCATATTAATGCGATTTTTAGATTGGAAATGCGTTTGGGTATACTTATTATGAGTGAATACCTCAGTATACCTAATGTTGGACTTGTCTTTTATTAAGTCAATGTCCATGAAAAAAAACGAAGGGGCAGTTTAGGGAAAATTCATTTCCATTACCTTGGTTGAACACACCACGATTTCCACCGTATATACGTACTATTAAGTACTACTATATATTTACGCGTAAGAATTTGGGGATTAATGAATGTGAAACATTCATTGATCGCTGCTTATGGGCACACAGGTTTCTATTTTTAGAAGCTTTGAAACAGTTATTTAGAGTTCTGACCGCCCTAGATTATCTGTGAATTATGCGCCCGCTTGCCTGTCCTGTCCCAAAGGCACCAGACGGGTGTGGCGGTACAAATCAGCAGATTGGGATTATCATCATCATCACCAGCCTACTAATGTCTCGACTGCTGGGGTACAGGCCTTCCCTATGGATGAAAGAGGGAGATTGGGCCATGACCTACCACGTCGATCCGCTAAAAAAGAAAAAAAAAGCCTATAATGCAGCAGCCAACGCTTGTCGGTAGCTTAGAAGCTAAACTCGTATCGAGGCTTGCTTTTGCCGCCCCTTACTCTGCAGAAACCTGATGGTACACTGCCGCACACTGCAGCTGAAAAGTCGAAACTGTTTGCTTCTATATTTGCTGCAAATTCACATCTGGATTTAGGGATTAAAGCAACGCCAAAGCAAATGTAAAATGGCTGAAATCCACATTCATCAGAAGGAGGTGGCTTAAATATTGCGAAATCTAGATGTGAATAAAGCCAGTGGTCCTGATGGTATTCCTGCCATTGTATTGAGGAACTGTGTAGCTGAATTGTTTCCCATTCTGGCTTGCTTGTCTTTCCGGACTAGAACGGTACCGACAGCCTGGAGCACACTAACGTTCACGTATAGTCTGTACCCGAAAAGGAAGTCGTGCTGACGCTAACAACTCGTCCAATTTCAATTACCTCCATCCTTTGTAAGGTGATGGAGCACGTTCTAACTGATCTTCTCAGCAGACAATGATCTTCTCAGTGATCGGAAATACGGATTTCCCCAGAGCCATTCCACTGGCGATCTTCCCCTTGAGAAACATGGTGAGGCACTAGCTGTCTCGCAAGACATTTCTGAGGCATTTGAAAAGGTTTGGCACGATGGCTTCATAGCTAAACTTCCTGCTTATGGAATCCCAACTAGTGTTTGTGCTTGGATTTCTGATATCACAAGGGAACGATCTATTATACGGGGCATCCCACAAGCTACTCATACAGAGTGAAAGTATCTTAAATATTGAAGATATGATATTTTACTGAGATAAGATATCATTTTATTTTTAATAGTAACTAGAACTGCATTCACAGATTTTTTAAAAATCGACTGCCCAGTTTGAAACTCGTGAAATTTGAAAAAAAGAACTTGAATGCTCAAGCATGCATCAAGGGCGCAACGACCAAGAAGTGGTGAAGTCCCTCAAGGGGATCTCGCGGTTCCGCACTTAACAGCGTAGAGGGTATTCGCAAGTTTTTTAGCGGATAGTGTGCCGCAAGCGCTCGTAAGCAGCGCGGACTGCTTAACGGCTTTTCCGTTTCGCACCCGTGAGACTTGCGAGAGGCTAGGTGCGAGGTCCGTTCGTTGGTGTGCCCCTTAAGGGCGTCAACGTCTGTAAATAGAGGTTTTGCCTGCGTAATAAAAAAAATAAGGGTGCAACGACCAAGGGGGCGTGGTCATTGCGCCCTAGGCTCAAGCCTTATTAGCCTGTGTGTAAATCAGGCCCTGATTTTAATTAGCACTGTTGAATTATGTAAGATGTCCGGTTAAAATTAATAATAAAGAAATTGTTGATTCCTTCTTAGTAACCGATGAAAATGAAATTTAGCATATACATCTAATTATGTTAGTAATACAAAAAGCAATGCTCAATCCTACCATAAAATATTATAAATTTTTAAAATTACTAAGTTGGTATGTTTGTTACCCAATTACGCAAAAATGGCTGAACGGATACGGATGATGTTTTACACACAAGTGACTTATAAGCTGGAAAAAGACATCGCATACTTTTATCCCGGAACAGTGCTAGGTTCCTGCGGGATTTAAAAAAAAAAGTTAACGCAATCAAAGTTGCGAGCGGCCGCTAGTTTATAATAATTTCAACCAAGACGTTGGTCCTGGCTGCATTAGCAGTCGATAACACCCACCAATCATCACTGTGCTTGCGTGGTGGGCCACATTTTCCCTATTTCATCTATATCGAATGGTGCCCCTCCCACTACTGATAGGCTAATGATGATGAATACCGTTATCAGGGCAGGCCATATACTGTATGCCGCAGAAGTTCCTCTCCATTCTGACGCAGATTCCGTAGTCCTGGTTGCTGAGCTGCAGCCCCGATGCCGGATCGTAGTTGAATGACTTCAGCTGACCCGACACACCAGTGTAGTATTGCAGACAACCTTCGTCAGCTACAGTAAAACATCAGCATTATTAATTTAGTTCTTTGATTAGTAATAATATTTTTACTAACTCTCACAACTTAGCCTAGTCCCAAAGTAAGCACTATAAGCTTGTGTTATGGGATATTAAGGTAACGTTTAGTATAGAATGATCGAACAAGTATACCGGGTAGAAGTATATTTATCTAGAAATATTTATAGTCATTTATGACTTAGGAACAGATGCTCGAATTCATCACAAACATTTGCCCCACCGGGATTCGAATCCAGAAAGTCTGAGTAGGCGACACCTTGAAAACCGGCATACATACCAATCTAGTCACCGAGGTCGTCAAGAAATAAAAATCGATTGTAAAACGTACGTTATATCACGCGAAATTAGTTAAGTCTCAAGAAAGAAAACAAAATCATCTTTTTTAATATTATCATCAGAAATAATAAGTTTTTATTTAAACTGCTTTGTGTTCGCATGGAGCCGTAAGTAACTGTGTAAAAATAAACGCAAGGGACAAAGGTTACTCGTATTAATTATTTATCTGTCCAAAAGGGTATCATTTTGGGCTATTATATTATTCATAATATCCACATTTCACATCTCTTGCTTTTATTTACATTATTTTTGTTTTGGTTTCATAAAAACAGTAGGTACAGTTTTAATATCTCATTAATAAATTGTTATACCTACCTACAGCAGAATGTTTTCCGCCATATTCAATAAAACGGTTTGGTCGGTTAGGAAACTGAAGTTATAAAAAAAGTTTTAATGTTATTAATAAGTACTTAAAATATATAATTTATCTGATACATTATATTCTCGTGTACAGGAGCTCGTCCGATGCGAGGCGATTACGTTACGATTCAGTAGGGAAACTCCCTACTGCAACGCACACTAATCGGAATCGTCAAAGATCGAAAAAAAATCGTCAGATCGTACAAAGAATACTAAACGGCTTAAGTTGATACGGTGACGATCCCTTTCCGAGTTGATATGTTTAAATTTGTATGTGCAGAGCGTAGGTTCTTAAGATGGAACTGATTCAAATTTCGAACGCTATATTGAGGTCATTTTAGTATAGGTAACGGCAAATCTCTTCAGCAAAACCACAGACAAATTAACTCGAACAGTAGATGTTTTTGCTTAGATTAAAACAAAAAGGGTAGATACGGCACTAGCCTCAGAAAAGTGATCCGCATAAATTGTGGTCCACGACCCTAATCGCTTTAGTCACAACTTGACATGCAAACGACGTACATGTAAACGCTAAAAATAAATATTGCTAATATTTTGTGTTTATATGATAAAACAATGCCTTAGTGTGTTTTTAAAAAGTGCTCAATTTGCTCAAGAACTAAAAATGAAACCCACGGCATCACTTTTCATTCGTAAGTACTATAAAATATATTTTTTCATTAAAATTGCTGTTTGTTTTGAATCTTATTCGGTAGTGACGTCGAGTACTGGTCGCGTGATTGGTCGGTAATGCAGTGACGCGGATCTCGCCGTCCCGTTCGTGCTGCCGTGGGATCAGTTTTTGTTTGATGCAAGTATGAGCGTACCGTATCTACCCTTTTTGTTTTAATCTAAGTGTTTTTGTATGTAAAATTGCTACTGCGTAGACTTCGTTGTCTATTATAGTTGCTCAAGAAGTTTGCCGGGGTGTAATACCAAAGCTTCCTTGCGCAGGTGTGGTTGAAGCATCGAATTTTGTTCACACTATTTCTTAGAAGCCGCTTTGTTCAGTTGTAGCTATTTTATTATGCTTCCCCCACGCTTGTGCGACGCAGCTTTTGGTGGATTTGGCACTAAATGCGCTAAAATTACCGTTCGTAAGGAATGATCCATTCTTTTCTCCATACAACTTTGCCTAATTTTGTACCTTACGTATTATTATGCATTTATGTGTGAAAAAATACGCCGAATTCATCAAAAATAAATGCAGATAATTATCTTATTGTAAATGTGCATCTCTAGAGTTAATAACAATAAGCTACGGAAATCACGTGGTTTTTGATACAACCAATCACAACGAAAGAAAATAATTTAAACCAATAGCGTGTCTAAGTAATGACGTTTATTTATACGCAGATTTTCTATTGAATAGGCTAGTTTACTCATGTCGAATTGTATTAAATAAATGTTTATTTCTTAAAGTATTTGGTCTAAGGAACCTAAACATATCGATTTCACTTCATAAAAGCAGAAAATTGCTGTAGAAATTTAATTTTAAAATATATTTTTTAGTCTATATTTTTCTTGACCATTGGTGTAGTAGAACCAAAAACCACATCTTTATTTTTTGTAATAAAGTAACAGTTATAGTTATTCATATTTATAATATTTATCCACATGTTTCTAGTTTGTATATTCGGAATACGTGTTTGAGTTTCATACAAGTGCAAATCACATATGTTCTAATAAATTATATTTAGTAGCGATTTTAATTGAATATTTTGATTATTTATTTATTTTTTCAAATTAAAACTGAACTTTATTGACTGTGTCCTTTTCCAGACTTTTTATTAATTTATTGTAATTAATTATTTGCATGCAATTAAAAACAAATTTTAAACGATGCCAAAGAAGGATAACTTCTCACGCGCCTACATAAGTACACGCACCCTTTGTTAATTTTTGTGTTACAGTGATGCGCGCGCATCTTAAAATTTCACTCTCATCATTTTTTCATAACGCGCCTAAAGAAGTATAACTTCAAAAAGTTTTGATCCACATTTTATTTTGTTCTAATAATGACCCTGTGAATAATGGATCTATTTAAACGTCTTATTTATACTGACCTTTATAGATAGTGCTGCATGGGATCTGCGTGACCTTCACCTTCCAGGTCCTCTCAAAGGTATTACCGCTCGTCACGAAGGTCAATTTCACTGGATTAGTTGTGCCTACTCCAGCATCGATATACACTTAAGGAAAATTAACTCGATTAGTTACCAATATTGGATGTTATCACTTGTTATACTTAGACATAGAATGAGTTTTCAGGAAGTTTCTCGTTAAATTGATCTCTTTTCTTTTTGCTTATGCGTAAATATTTAATAAGTAATGTAAAGTAAAAATTTTGGAACCGAAAAATCTTAATCTTACAAAAAAAAAATCTTTCCTCTTTTTAATATTAGTATAGGTAACTCACTATGACTGCCTTGGTTCGCTCCGCAAATAGTGGGTATAGGATTTCCACCGGACACTATGAATTGGTCCTGATTGCAAACATGGTTGGTGGGTTCCGGTCCAGCGATTGTGAAACGGTTAAAGTCCAACCTGTGGAAAAGATTTTTTTTAACCGACTTCAAAAATGTTCTTGATTCAGTAGGTATGTTTTCTAGTTGCAATAATGAAGAAAAACCATTTAGGGGAACTTCAAGACTTTCAAAAGAGCTGACTGTCTTAAAGGGTACCAACAGCATATAAGGCAGTTCTGGTGTTCCATGTATCAATGAGTATGGATGAACACCGCTTTCAAATAAACCAGCGATGGGTAAACTTTTTCCTTGATGTGCCAATATTTACTACATAAATCTATAGCAGGACAGGTTTTTAAAATTTTCACTACTTCTTTATTGAAATAAATTGGTAGGTATGTGTAAAGTAAATACCAAGTTTGGCAGAGGGTGGTATTTGTTGGAACAGGTGCCAAAATGGTACTGTTGTATTCTCTGCAGTTACATGAGTAGTTGGTACGATTTGCCTTTGATTTTTAGGGATCTGTACCTAAAAAGAAAAAATGGAACCCTTATACGATCAATTTGTTGTCAGTCTGTCTGTCGGTCTGTCAAGACCCTTTATCTCGGGGGCGCATTGAGTGTGAATTGTGTTGGTATTTAAACCATATACATAAGTCTGCGGTGTCTTGAAACTGTGAAAAAATTAAACTGCCTACTCAGCTAAAGTAAAAAAAATACGGCCGTTTATGTTGCGTACCTTCAAATTTGTACGGAACCCTCAGTGGGCGAGCTTGACTCGCACTAGTCCGTTTTTTTTTATAAAAGGTGTAATGTAACGTTACAGATTCGAGCATTACATCAGTAAGACAAGAGAACCGAGCAGTAAGTTAGACACAGTGGCTGCTTAGAGCCAAAAAACGGATCGGCCGCTTTGATTCGTTGGCCCGAAGTAACCAGAAATGAACGCGATTGACCAAAACTTTGTAATACTTGTAATCGTAATATAGTTTATGGTTACATGTGAATCGCTCACACTTAATTTTTATTTGTGAATTTACCCAAACAATATCAAAACTTTTAAATTCATAACTCAGTAAGTCGGTGGAGCAAACCCTAGCAAGGGTTTTAAATTTATGTTCTGACATACTATGTTTAGAATTTGTACTTCAAGGATTTTTGAAGTTATACTTCTTTAGCCGCGTTATGAAAAAATTATGAGAGTGAAATTTTAAGATGCGCGCGCATCACTGTAACACAAAAGTAACATAATGAAGTTAGCCGCGGGCGCGTTATGAAAAAATCATGTGAGTGAAATTTCGAGATGCGCGCGCATCACTGTAACACAATAGTAACACCATGAAGTTGGCCGCGGGCGCGTTATGAATGTTAGTGTCTAATAATGGTGGATTATTAACCACTTAGTGGTTAATAATCCACCATTATTATTAACCACTTAGTGGTTAATAATCCACCATTATTAGACATCTGTTCGAAAGGTACTTTTGAACGATCCACGGAGCTCCATAAGATGATCGCGTTGTCAAAAACAATGTTGGCACGCTCGTCGCCTCTGATCACTGTTTTCATATTTATAATATTTATCCACATGTTTCTAGTTTCTATATAGACACAACGTGTTTTAGTTAATTACAAGTGCTAATTACATATGGACTAATAACTTAAATTCAGTAGTGATTTTAATTGAATATTTTGAATATTTATTTAATTTTTCAAATTAAAACTGAACTTAATTGACTGTGTTAACTATCCTTTTCCAGTCCTTTTATTATTTTATTGTAATTATTAATTATTTGCATGCAATTAAAAAATATTTTTAATGATGCTAAAGAAGTATAACTTCTCACGCGCGTACATAAGTTACACGCATCCATTTTTTTTATAATCATGCCAAATTGTCTAGAATTATATTTTTAAAATAACGTAGGAAACTGGGAGTTTTAAGGTCCCCATCATAATCGATACTGCCGAGTAAATCGAAAAAAGCCAAAAATGATTTTTTTAAACCACCTGTTACTAGGTATTCAATCTTTCTTAGTGTTGCACTGCAGCAGTTATATATTCATGTTAATAAGTACCTGATTTGACAAACATCGGGATGGGCTTTGATGATGGTTAAGTCGCAGGACCCGGTGCCGTCGTATGCTGATGGATAACCGGAGTTCACGAAGTAAGTTCCGTTCTCTGATGATGAACTGCCGCATGATGTCATGACTGAGAGAGAGAGAGAGAGAGAAGTTGGCAATCAATAAATTGATGATCTCTGTGGTGTGGTGTGTATGGGTTCGAATCTTGGTAGTGTAATCGTCGCTGTCAAATCAATATCTGCTATATGCATTTTTTGGAGATTTCGACATTTTCATCATTATGACTACTTATTTTCATCTTTATAGTAACCGAATTTTCAAATTCAAAGACTGCTTGCTATGCGAATCTTTGCATTCTAACGGTGAACAGATGTTGTTAAAAAATATACAATGTACATCAGCCAGAATATTGTAAAGTTACCTATATTTTTTGCACATAGCAGATCTTGGTTTCATCATCATCATCATCATCAACCCATGTTCGTTCACTGCTGGATATAGGTCTCCCCTAATGCACGCCACTGCTCCCGATTTTGTGCTACTCTCATCCAGAATATCATTATATTATTAGAATATCATTAGTCGCAGAACTGATGGCCGTTGGAGCCGGAAAGTTCTTGAGTGGAAACCACGACTCGGTAACGTAGTGTAGGACGCCCTGAGACAAGATGGGATGATGATATTCGTAGGCTGGCTGGAGTGGGCTGGATCTTGGTTTGACAACGAATAAATGTTTATATGATGTATACAAGCATTTGTACCTAAGTCATGACAGTTTATTATATACTAGTGGCCCGCTCTCGCTTCGCTTAGGTGTAGGGTAGGAAGATTATAGTTTTTGTTCTCAGGCTTTCATTATACACAATTAATTTCTTTATATAATTACCTAGTCCAGCCATAAGTTCTGTTACAATTGAAAATGTTTTTTTTTAATGAAGTTATGTAATATTATTAAAATCTATACCTACATATTTATTAGTCTCAGCAAAAAAAACTATTCGAAATGGCCACCTTTGGCTTTTATAAAGGCCTTTAATCTGTTTGGCCACGAATCTATGGATTTACGCACGTTTCCAAGGGACTGCTTGCTCCAAAGATTTTTTAAGAGACTCAATGTCGCCGTGTCCTTTAGAGCAGGCCATGTCCTATAAAACTGACTATAATTTGAAGTCTAAACGGTTGTGGTCTGGGCTAGATGAGGGCCAGTCTTCAGCTCTTATAAAGTCCGGAACGTTGGTCATGTCAGGCTTGGGTAGTTCGTGCCTTGTGACCAGCTGTAGAATCTTGCTGGAAAGTCCACGGTATATTTTTAAAAAGTGTATTGCTGAGAGGTTTCACAACATGATCCAAGACTGTATCTTGATACACTTTGTTTGAGGTTTTCACTCCTTTTTCACAAAAATGTAGTTTTGTGACTCCTTGATAAGACACGGCCCACCAAACCATCACTGACGCAGGATGATGACCACGTTGTAACTTTCCGACCACTTGAGCAGCTTTTACATTTTGCTTATTGTAGTGTTCCTCAATCATGAAACAATTCTAAAATTTTTTCATCGGTAAAGAGGATATTTCTGTGCTTTTCACCTGCGTATCGCGACAGAAGGCGTTTTGATCGATCCACTCTCTTTAATTGTAAGAATTGATTTAGGGCATGCCCTGTATATCGACGATAAGCACCGAGCTTCAGGTCTTGTTTTATAATACGCAACGGAGTCCTAGCGGGAATCTTCATTTCTCGCGATAAGATTTTTTGCTTCCTTAGGGGTTTCGACGAATTCTGACTTTAACAGCGTTAACAGCTTTTGTAGTTCTAACAGCACGCGGCCGCCCCAACCTTTTCTGGTCTTCGACAGATGCAAATCGAGCAGTGAAGGTGAGCGTTGATGCGCATCTCTAAGGGTTGGAGTTAGGTTTAATGCGCACCTTAAACCTACACCTGGGTCGCAAGTCCCGGGAACTGCTCAGAGTTTCTCTCACACACGATGTACCCGGCACCTGCATGCAATCCATGGATTGCTGATTGGATGGATGATGAACACAATTGACGGAGAAATCGGTGAACATACATAAAAAAAGAAAAAATATACAGTCGAACACAAAACCTCCTTCTTTTTTGAAGTCGCTTAAAAATTTGCTTCACACGCTAAAAAAATTAGCTACACACGGTCAAAGTGACAGTACATTGTATAGTTTGACGTCTTAATGACGCCATAATTTTCAATAAACGTTATCGCGGCAAATTGAAAATCTATTTTTTTTTAAGCATTTATTTATTTATTTTTAACTGCTAGATGTTTAAATCTAAAGAAAAGTTTTACTAAATTTTCCTAGCCTTAAGCTGCAAGGCAGCGCCATCTCTTCGCAATCGGATTGCGAAGAATGCGGGTTCGAGTCCCGTCCGGTGCCTGGTCCACGTGGATTTTTTTTCTAGTAAAACTTTTCTCTAGATTTAAACATCTAATTTTTGATTAGGGTTTATACTGAAATACACAACAGGATGATGAATATCGTATGGACTCTATTATAATTAGTGAAAAGCGTGAGATCGTTTCCTAAATCATTCCAAATACCCTAGTAATATTATGATAACCAACAAGTGAATACTTGTTGGTTATCATAATATTATTAATTTTATAGGTACTAATTTTGTTCTAAACAAGTGTATAGCTTCAGAGTCGCCGGGCCCGCGTGGATATTTTTCTAGTAAACTTTTCTTTAGATTTAATTTCAGAGTTTTAGTAGAAGTTATATTTTGATAGTAAGTATTTTATTAACTTACAACGACCGCACTTAAAGTACCGGCACTCGACAAGCTCCGCGCGCGGTTGATATTCTTTGTATGGATTTCTCCGAGGATGCGCTCACTACACCAAATCCGTACCGTCACCGCGAGTCGCCTCGCTCACGCGCCAGAAACGTCTCGTACCTACGCGTTCTGTCTCGCTCGCTCGTATGGCGGATGGGGCGTTCACCCGTAGCCCTCACTCACACTACGTAAGCTGGTTGAAAGCGCGATGTCCACGAGATGACGGCACGCGCCTAGGCGGTGCTGGTCGGGTGCCGGACGGTTCAGGTGCGCTATGACCTTAAAGATTTCTTTGTTAGGTTTGAACTAAGCTTTCGAATTCGAAGCGCTGTAACCAACACACGAGTCTTTAAAGACTTCGTCAAAGTGTCGGTATTTTGGAAACAATACTATGCTTTCTAAGTCTTTTTTTTGCGTATCCAAACAAAATCGTATTTCATTTCCTTAGCAGTTTAGTTACTGTTTGTTCAATGGTGATAGATGTTCTGTGATGAAAACAGGTGAGTTTCATCCTGCTAGGTCAAGATCAGAGTAATTCTGATATATTACAGGTCTATTTCTATTCTTGAATAGCTGTTATTTCTAAATTTAACTGACAGTTTCTATATGCATTTTATTTACCATTTTGTCAATTAATTGTCACTTAAACTTTTGTCACGAAGAACACCATAAACTACGCTTTACGAAAAAGCCCATTATTCCGTATAAATAAAAATAAACGGCTCAACTAGAGAACCTTCTTTTTTTTAAATCGGTTAAAATACTTACATATACAGCACAAGCCAAACCCGTTGGCACAGTATCCATTGGCAGAGCCACCACGGGAGGAGCACTCGCGGGCCGTCATACAAGTACCGTTGTCCCCGGATGCGCCGGCGCAGGCACCGTTGGGAAACGTCACCACAGTGAAAAGAGATAGAACTGTTGGAAGAATATTCACCACGGCTTACTTAAAGTTACGAAATGTTAATGTAATGACATTTTAACATACAAAAGACACGATTAATGAATATTCTTAACCAGGCGAAAAATGCATGTAACAATTATTTTTCATATTTATAATGTAACAGAATGCTAAAGTAATTAAATATATTAACAATACATATTGTAATCTAAGTCGGTAAGCATAGCGAAATTGTATTGACTTCACTTAAATATGCTTTTAAAACGAGAATAAATGCAGCTTTGCTTTATTTTTAATTTATATTCAGGAAATAGCTAGGTATTGGAATGCCACCAATCCGATTGAACTAAAATAATATTTTTTTAACCTAGAGACCTGTACACAAATAAGACAATTTGGTTATCAGGTTGTTTTTAATATAATCATTACTGTAATAACGTGGCTTAAATGAAAAAAGGAAGAAAACCAATCACATATAAATATTCGCATAGCTCAAACAAGTAACTTACATCTACTTTCTTTTTGCACAGGAGGCCAAAACCTAGCTTCTGGCTTCTGCTCCACATTATTCTTCTTTACGTAGCCTGCATACTTCGGAAATGACACCCTATTCAATACGCCTCTACCTTGCAAAGACCTATTTCCGCTGCTAATATCATTTGACGCACAAAGTTTTAGTAGCGAAACAATGATTGTGAATTGGACGTACATTTCGTGTGCGATGTAATGTGTTTAAAGCATATTATATGTTTTCATCGCAATATATAATATTTTAACGGGAAGGGGAACAATGGTGCTAAATTTCTCCTATTATTATGTTGTGACAATGGCTATTTTAGCGTTAATTTTTCTTTGGTGGCAGCACGCATGCTTCGTCAGCGGCACGGAACGGTTACGCAAGCGCCAGCGTTTATAGCTAAAATGGTTTTTGATAGTTCTGTGGTTTATAGAATTCTGTGGGAAAATGAAATGATTTTTTTTCTCGCCTATCGGTGTAGACTTACAGCAGAATAAACTACATATGAGCTGGCAAAAGTGCATAGATAACAATGGTGCATACTATGATTAATTAAATATATAAAAAACGACTTTTATATTCCTCCCTTACAAAACGCCAATATCATATGTATATAACCTAATATATCCGAATTTGAGTAAACAATTATGAACGAAGTCGGAATGTTTATCGCACGTTTGTATATTTTCACATATTTTTTTATTATGAGCGCGCGGTTTTCCCGTTGACTAGTTCGTAAAATATTCACGATTAATCTCGTTAGTGATTGAAACTTCTCTACTAAGAAAATGCAAATTTCTATAAATCTTCACAACGATTTCAGCATTGAATATCCCTAGCACAGATAATAACACGCATATAAAATTTCACCATTTTATACGTACCTAAATGGAAAGACC